CCCTGTTATTTGCAGAGGAAACTACTTTATACAGAGGTGTTTCACTTGGGACTGTCCATGTTGGCGGGACAATCTCCAGGCGTGGCTGGACAATCCAGAAGGTGCTGTGGAAGAAGGCCAACAAAAAGGGGCAGCAAGTTCCCATTTTAAACCATTGGGTCCAGGAAACTGCTGGATTTATATATAGAGGGCAGCTGATGGAAGTTCACTAGGTCAGTCTGTGGGGTGCTGGCTCAGACGAATGGAGACATATACGCATGTTTCTTGGGTAGCTCGCAGTACTCATGAAAAACATTGGAAGCGGTTGTGTGTTAATTTCGTTTGCTACTGTCACCCACTAGTTGGAGGTGGAGAAAGATTGAATATATTAGTTGGACCAAAGGGGAATACTGGGGCACTGGGAACTCTGGTCTTCGTGTTTTCACCCAGAATCCACAATCTCCTCCTTACCGCCTTAGAACCTTTTGTGGAGGCTCCCTTTTAATAACGACGGTGGCAGGTCGTGGTATGGAAGAAACACACGAAGACGTTTGAAGTTTGGAAAGAACTTGCCCTTTACAACTATCGGCTTCTGAAGTCCTTTGGCAAGTATGATCGTTGAAGTCCGTCCAGGCGTGTTTGTCAGCAGGAATTTCTCACTTGGCTCAGTGCAGGCAGGACCAGGTTTGACAGATGTTTGCAGGTGAGAAGATCTCCATCGACCTGGGGAAGCTCTTGGCAACACGCTTAGTGGATAGACAGAGTGGCAGATAGACCATGGACAGGACTGGGACACTTTCTATAGGAGACCGGAGGAGAGTGTTTAACATGTTTAAACTTCAAACGGTTATGGTAATCCAGTTAAACCACTGGGTTTGACCAAAGGGGTATGCCCTGGCCTTCCTATGTGTGAAGGGCTCAGACTGCGACACAGGATGCTCAGACTGTGACATGAAGTCGATGGGGATCTCCCAGCATCGATCGAAGGCGACATGGTCTAACATCCTGGCACTTGCACTGGTGTAGCTGTTCGACCATCCCCACACACGTGGATGACCGTTTCTAGAAAGGCTGCTGGCAGCGATCGGACCACGCTCGGGCCGCTCGGGCCGGGGGCGTCTCAGGACCGCTTGCCCAGCACCGCGGTCACTCGCGGCGGCCGCTCAGCCATTGAGGCGCCAAGATCGAGTCACACGGCGGGTTCAAGTGCGGGCAATGGGTGAGCGTGAAATCTATACTATCTATATATATATATATCATGTCATATCACATCATCATCTCATATTCATATCATATTCATATCCTGGTCTGAACTTCAGGATCTCACATCATATCGAGTATGTGACGAACAGGATTCCGTCGGGTCCGTCCCGCCCTCCATTCATCGAAGGCAGCGGCTCGTTCCGTGGCTGTCGCGCGCACGGCTGTGAGTGCCACGGCGCCTCGTGATGCGTTGTGATGCTGTGGGATGGTTTGGGTTTGTGGGTTTGTGCCTCGTTTTGGTGCATTTCAGGTGTTTTCGGAGTCAACATGAGTCAGCTTAGTTTGTTCTTGGAGCAACCTGAAAGACCTAACCTGGTGAAGCCCGGTCAGATGTTTCAGCCCGCGTAGGTGCGGGGTACATCAGTCAATCGTAAGATAACGTTAATTAGTAATTTTGCACCTTGAAGGCAAACAATTAGCAGAGGGATTTAAAGAAGTATAATACAAAGCAGGTGTGCTGCACTTCAAGATTCACCCGGGTTCACCTGTGATTTGTTCATAATTTATCCATACGTTCCGGGGACAACAATGTGTTGATAGTTGATGGAACCATTCCTGGAACCATTCCTGGACCATTTGATGAAGCAACCAGAACACCGCTGCAAATGCCATGGTGTTTCATGTGTCCATGTTTTCCCTAGGGCTCCAACCATAACCTCAGAAGGTGGTTAGACCCCCCTGGCATCCACCCCATCCACCTTCTGAGGATGTGGTTGGAGCCCTAGGGTTTTCGACATATTGTATTTTCTACAGAAGCCAGTCTTGGTGAACCACACCTTCTGACCCTCCCAGCTGTCCCGCATGACACCGTGACTGAGGTGGAGCAGTCCGCCGAAGCGCAGCGGAGGGCACTCGCCTGGGGGGAGCAGGCAGGTCTGTGGGACGAGTCCAGGAGACCCAGCTTTTGCTTGCAGACCTACTGCAACATGACTTCTACGAATCTGATCACTCTCACATCGAATGACCCCTTTTGTTGGTGTGAAGGTTGGCTCTGTTTGTGTGCCGTTCTTCTTGTCCCGTTCCAACCGGTGGGCTCACCGCCAGCCTTCCCCCGCCTTCCGAGCGGAACGGAGGCCGCGAAGCTGGAGGGCGCTGTGCGGAGTGAACTCGAAGCGACCGAGGCCACGGTGGTCTGGGTCTCCGTGTGGCGACCATGGCGCCATTTCTCGGTGTGGCGACCGTGGCCTGGCGGTTTTTTCCAAGGAATTGCAATTGGAAGAGGATGGAAGTCGATGGATCCAGATCATTGAAGCTGGCATTAGTGCTGGCATTTTGTTACAGTGGTTTCAGAGTAGATGGCACAAACTCCTACATGTCTTTTAGATGGGGGTCCATATAAACCACCTCTTGGTGATTGTGCCATCTACTCTGAAACCACTGTCACTGTAGGTGTTTTTTGGTATGGTCCCCTTTTGAGGCTCCTTTTTGGATGGTGTGCGGATTGCCAGCGATGGGGATTCTCCAAGCAGCACTCTACAACCATTTGCTCACGCCACGTTGATTCCAAACGCCCAGCTCAAAAACTACACCAGAAGCGACTGACGCGCTGGGTTTGAAATAGCTCGCCACGTTGGCTCGCCACTTCGAGGCCTCCATCAAGGAGTCGATGGAACGCTTCCGGGCAGCGAGCCAAGAGAAGGAGGCGAAGACGGTGGAGCTCCAGGCTGAGCGGAGCGACGACGACGACGACGGGGGACCGTGCTTGGAAGCGGTGAAGAGGTCTCTGGACATTGGAGTGACACGTGTTTTCCACGGAAGGTTCAGAAAATAAACCGCCAACAAGCAGCTCAAGACGACAACAGAGGTTCTTCAATTCGTTCAAAACATCTATACACTTATATATATATATATGATATATATATATATAGTTATACTACTATACAAACTACTACAGAAATCATGTCTATAACTTGTTTAAGGGTAGAGTTTGCCGAATCGCGGGACTCTTTGGATCCCCCAAACGCTCAGATGACTGCCAAGGGCAAGGGGGCAGAGCTGGAAGATGGCTTGCAGCAGCTGAGTGCGATTCAAGCAGATGTGGAGGAGGCGCACATCGTGGGCGTCAGGAGGTGACCGGAGTGGGGCATTTGGGGTGGCCGGAGCTGTCCTGAAGGGACAGAGCTATCCCATTGCGACACTGCCAACGGTTGTGTGGCTGAGTTGGGAACGGTGAGGGTTGCCCCGTACGAATGATTGGCATGTAGTATGGAGGAACATGTGTCGGGTGTTGTAGAAATGATCAACTCATGCTTGGACGGGCTCGGAAGTGGCTAAGTGGTCAAAGACCATTTTACGGTGACATTTGTCTACTAACTTACCATAGCTGCCATAACTTATACTACTTGATAAAAATGCATTGTCATACCAAGCACATGGTAGGCGCTCGTCACTTTGACAAGTCTTGTCCCAGTACGTGACAAGAACTGCACAATCCTCTCGCCGTGGTCTGCATGTCATGGTGGATCCACACAATGACCACGAGCCGGAGATTGCTACATTGCTATGGCTTGTATTTCTTGGGGGGGCGCGTGGCGACGGCTGAATCTGCACAACATGTGTGCGCCAGAGACCAGTTGGAGTGTCAACCTTTTGGATCCTTTTGGAGATGCCACAGCACACTGAGAAAGTTCAATGATGGTCTAAAACCTATTCTTGAGCACGCAAGGCCTTGTCAACCCCTTCGATGTTACTTGTTTGTACCCATCCTAGTTCAATGCGAAAGGATCGCAGACGATCGCATCTTGCGTGACGCGATCGCATCTCCGATCGCTCCAGGCCAAAGTCCGAGAAGCGGAGTTGAAGGCGAGACCTTGTCACACCTGCCTTCATCATGGAGACCTGAATACAGTCCTGTTTGATACGGTAGATGTTCCAATACAGTTGACATGTTCAATGCACATCGGGGGGATTCACCATGATTTACCACTTTAAACCCCTGTTGCTACATGAGATCTAAAGCGAGGTCAAGTTGTCAATGCTACTGTAATCGATTATATATATATATGTAAAATGTATGTCCCCTTTAGCATTGTGAAAAGTGACATGGGTTCTCGGTTCTCTTCTCTTATGAAATGGGAAGAACAACCTGTGAACTTGTACACGCAGAATTACATAATATGAGCCTGAGGCTTCATCCTTGAAATTGTTGGATGCTGCTTCTTGGGGAGGTTATGGGGCTCCCCCACATGAAGTCTCATTCATGACAGAGCCCACTCGCGGAGGATGCTGTCCTTTTGCTTACAGAATTGGGACAGTTCAACGATGTGAGTGGCTGTCCATTTCCAATTGTGATTATATATTCTCATCACATTGCTCATCCTCTTGGGAGGTGTGACACGATGTGAATGGAGTGACCTTCTCTTCAAGACCATGATAGAAAGCAGTGACGTCTTCATCTTATGCTGTCGTTTTGGAGCCAACCCCAGAACGACGACGACGACGGCGACAAACACAACAAACAACAGCAACAACAGCAACAACCACAACAACCACGACCACGACAACAACAACCATGACGACGACATGATGAAACAGGGCTTCTTCAACCACGACCATGCGTGCTGCCCAAGACTCGTTTCTTTGAAGATTTTGAAGACGACTTGTTTCTGCTTTGCTGCCGACAGCCGCCAGGCCTCGGTGAAGTCCAACGAGGAGCGCAACTTCTCGCTGCAGCACGACCTTGAAGCCACACGAGCCCTTGCCGCCAAGGCCGCGGATTCGGTGTCGTTTTCCTAGTAGCGATGCCAGGAGCCCCGTTCGTAGATAATGGTAGTAGGCCCAGTAGGCATCAGCGGATTACATGTGTGGCCCAGTTTTCTCTATGAGGCCAGAATGTTTGGCTTCAGGTTGTTGGCCCATAACCACAACGTGTTTGCGCACCCACGAGTAGAGAGGACATGAGAGGACATTGACCTTTCTAAATTCTCCACCTCAATCTAGGCGGTTTTGTGCGTTTGGTCCGTCAGCCCTTGGGCTCTCAGCGGAGCCTCGTGGTTTGCCGACTCACAGTCACTTGCCGGCAATTTTGACAGCGAAAGCAGGTCCAATCGGCAGTGAGTCAGAGAAAGAGAGAGAGAGAGAGAACACTTTAATTAATATAATTAATACACATTGAACGTGACCCAGTGGCTACCTTAGAATCTCGTTGGTCGATTCAGCACATGCCGTTCACATGCGACGTGCTCGGGAAACTCTAAGAGTCAGTGACATCCACATCCTTTGACCGTGTCCTTGGCCCTTGTCAGCCCGTACAGCATCGAACGGATTCCGAATTCAAGGCTTTTGTCAAAGGACTCTTTTAGTTTGCAGAATGCGACATGACACATTATGGAGTACACATTGCTTTGCATACTTGTTGAGATGAACAAGTTTTGTTGGGTGTGATGATGCCAGTCTTCGAGGGTTCACTCTGTACAAGCTTATGCAATCATATGATATAGGCATGGGCAATGGGCATGGGTAACTTGTTGGAGGGTACTGGTAGAACCACAGACCCTCCCTTGTTTACAAGTTGTATTTACTTAATTTTACTTATTTATATATATAGAGAGAGAGAGGGCGCACCATTTGAGTGGGTCGAATGTGAAGTCCGACCAGCCTCAGGTTCTACATGAATCTCTATGTCGTGAGCCTCCTGTCCGCTGTCGCCCTCGGCTTCCGCGCGGATGTCCAATACCAACGCGTGGATGCGATCGACCCAGCAGAGCGCCGGAAGATGGTCGAGAGCTTCGGGAAGTTCAAGGTGCCACAGCCCGCCCAGCATTGGTTGTTAGGTAGTTCTGAGGCGATGGTTCAGACAGCTTCTTTTGCAGGTTCCTTTCCTTCCTTCCGGTTGCTGGCAGATTCCTGGTTTGGTTCCGTTCGACTTGATCGACAGACGGGTACTTTTTTTCTAAAGAATGGGTTTCTGCAAGCAGCATGAAGATTCAAACAGTTCTTGTGCAAAACTGGACCCTAATGTTTAATTATTTAAGTTTTTGCATCAATTAGTATATAGAACTATCGTAACTATAACTATATATATATATTTAGAGGTGCCTTCTGTGGGGGTACCACGTGCTTTCTTGAGCCATTCCCACCTGCTTCCACATGTGTTGCGTCCTGGCTGACTTCAGGCCATTCTGGCGACCAACCAGTCACGCTTTCTGAAGGACTGTGCCAAGGCCAGCGACTACATCTCAGACGTGCTCTCTTGTGGCAACACAGTCCTTTGCTATTCCAGGCTTTTTACCAAGGAGCGGGCTGCCGGGCGCAAGGGGGTGTGAAGTCTCCAATTCTTTGGATTGCTGGTAACTAGTACGGCCACCAGTACGGCACCAGTCCAACCGAACCGTGTTCTTCCAGGACCCTTTGGTACTCAAGAAGAACCTGAAGATTGGCAAGAAAAATGTGGAGAAAGCACTGAAGAATGTGCCAGCTGATGGAGTGCAAGTTGTTTTTTTTTGTATGTGGTGTTTCAACGTGTTTCACCTATTACAAGTTTTGCTATGTATTTTGGAATACATATTGCCCGAAAAACATGCACCCCGGTACCTTTTTCAACTGCAGACGGGGATTGTCAGAGTCATTATTGGTCGATGACGATCAATGGTCCTTTCTTCCAACAGTTGGTCCTTTACTGTCCGGCTTGATTTCGCAATGCAACCATTGAGGAAGTTGTTCAATTAGAGCTATTTCCCTGGAAGGTCTTAGCAGCCTGAAGGAACATGGTGTTGGTGCCTGGTGAAGATGTAAGATCTTTGTCAATGGGCTTTGGCTTCCAGGAGGAAATGTGCTGAAAGTATGAAGCGGACCCCCTCCGTATGTTTCTCATCCAAGCTGTCATGCGGGGCACGTCCAAGGAAATCTTGCCTTTCCACGCCACTGGATTACATGTACTTGGACTATGTGACGTTGGGCCTATGGAAGCGCGTGCCTGTCACAGAAATTCGCCGGCGCAAAGCGGCGCGCAGGAGAAATTGGGATGGCTGTGACTGGCCAGTAGGTCATATCCAACATGCTTTCACCATCGACCGTTGTGCTACCAGGTGAACATAACACGTGATGTTCTCGCTGCAGAGGAAAGCTGCAATCGCTGATCTTTAAGGGGTTCAGGCGTTGGTGGTAATCCGGGAAGCCACTCCCCACAAAATAGGACTGGCCAGGGCTCCAAATACAGATAGGGTCGGAGCTAGAAGAAAAGAGCTGCAAAGCACAATGGAAACTCAAGAACAATCGCAGAACTTTCCTCCTTCGCCAGTGCCCAAGCTGAGGTGCAAGATTTGGTTCGCCATACAGACCTGGGCAACCAAAGTCCTGGGGCCTTGTCGCATGGTAGCTTGGAGAGGAAGTTTTTGCAAGCACGTGGAGGAAGAAACTTCTTGATCCTCGGACGAAAAAAACTTGTTGTGGTTGTCGTTTTTCGGGTAGCACATCAAGAAACGCCCGTTCGGTTCGGCATTTCAAAGCGGGAATTCCATCCAGCTCAAGAACCCAGACACTCCATGTACGCCATATATGCCTACATTGACCCCTCAAACCACCCCAATGTAGGCAAATATAAATATACCATACATGGAGTGTTTGGGGAATGATATCAGGAGTTTTTGTTTTTGCAGGTCGTCCCGATGGATTTTGGTCGCAGGGGTGCCTTTCTGCGGGTCCAGCCCAGGATTGATGTGGCACAAGCCAGCCTGGATTCGCTGAAGGCAGAGCTGTTGAGGAAGGAAGATCCAGAGGACAGCACCCCTGAGAAGATCGAGGATCCACAAGGCTTCAGAATTCCCTGACTGAAGGGGTGTGACATGGGTAGACTCGGGTAGACTGAATGCTATAATTCATTATAGTTAATTCTATATAATCATATACACACCATTCGTGTCGTGTGACTGCTTAGGGAACCCATTTCTTTCTCCACTACCTGGTGCAGTTCAAATACTTCAAGAAGTCTTCCTTGGAAGATGTGCAATGCCTAGCGGGCCTAGCGTTCCACCGGTGGTGGTGTGGAACTCTCAATTTCTGCCATGAGGCCACCAAACTCGTTGCTTCTTTCAAGAGGTTGGTGTTTCTTCACCTCCCTCTTGCGAGGACTTACCAAGAGTCTTCTTCGCATATCTTTCGTGGAGCACCGTCGGCACTTGGCGATCACAGAATCACCTCTTCGCCATTGCTGCTTGGAAGATCGGAGGGAAGACATCGCACACAGGCGGTTCACGACTTATCCAAGTGGTTGATCATTGTGGCACAAGTTGGGTGCAGAGAATCACTTGTTGGATGCCGGGGTGGTTACACAGAGTCCTCTCATCATGGGAAAACGCCCAGCACAGAGCCACAACAAAGCCTAGCAGCACAGAGCCACAACCAAAGAGCACACGAGCAGTGCCGGGCTTCCACGTCCGAAGAGGTGCACATCCCCCGCTGACTCGGTGGGCGAAACTGGACGTCGGGTCTTCCAGGTGAAGCGAAGCAACACCAACTTTCACATCATGCAGGGCTACATCAAGTCAGATGTTGAGCCAGGAGCGCAGAAGTGTTTGGAATATAATAATATATAATTGAATTATTCACATTGAGATTGGTATGGGTTGTAAATCCAGAAAGCCAGTTACACATGCCTTTTCAGCAGGATGTCAAACCTTTTATGTTTTCAGGATATGACCTTTCGGACTGGCTGTGCTCGAGAAACCCCTTTGCCAACATCAATGGCTTTGGAGCCTTCTCGACTCTTGACACGGGCAACGTGCTGGGCTGGATGGAACGTGTGGATTTCGTCAATGAGTTCATGTGTTGCTACTAGTAGCGAACCTTGTTCCTAGTAGTAAGGCACTTGTACTAGAAGCGATGCACTTGTTACTAGTAGCTGTTTGTAATTCAGTTCATGTGTTGCTTTCCTAAAATGATTACCGTTGCTGTGGATTACCGTTGCACCGCCTGAAGGGTTGTTGATACAGACTCTTTGTTTTCCATCGAATGACCACCCTTTGGGTGGAGACCAGGAGCAGTGGTCGGTCAAGACCGTGCAACACCGTGAGGTTAGTTTGGCTGGGCACGGAATGAGTTCTCAAAGCTTGCAAGTTTGGGATTCTCATGGCAGCTTCTACGAAACAATCAAACAAATTTAAACCATATCGAGAGAATCAACTGTGACTCTGGATGACTGAGGTAAGCCCTAAAAGCCTCTTGTGGAACCACTCATGTTGACGTTTGCCAATCTCATCAGTTTTTGCGTGTATAGGGTTCAAAAACCAGAAAACATGGACCCACATTGTTGAACTCCATGCGAGAGTCTCACCCTGTAGATGTTGGAGCATAAGTGACAGTGACAGACCCATTGGCAGCAATGATCCAGAGAAGATTGACACGCATCGGTACTGTATTTATTCCAGAAACAGCATCGTTAAACTGTATCATTGAGTTGGGCACGCCAGCCATAGATACAAGGAGCCTAAAATAGCCTAAATATGTTTTACAGCAAAAACAAGCAAAACAACATTAAATGTAAAGCAAACAACCAAAAAAACAAACACAAGTAGCTGTGCGTGTTTGTCGTTTTTGTCACTTGCTTTATGTTCGCATTGTGTTCGCTTTATTTTCACATGTTGTTCGCTATATTTTCGCATGTGTTTCGCTTTGTTTTCGCCGTGTTTTTCGTGTTTTTCCTAGGAGCGTAGAGCAAATATTGCTGACGGGTAACAGTTCTCATAAGTGCAGAAGTGGTACTGTACCAGGAAAAGAGCAAGACACATGCAAACACAAAGCAAATTGCGCTGCTTTTGCATTTTCATGTGCTTTTGTTTTGCTTATGTTTTTTTGCAAGAAGAAATGTTTGATGGTTGGTCATATGGCTGCCATTGCTCGACACAACTGCATCACAAATTACATCGTTTGAATCTACTGTACTAGACTGCTCTTTTGAATGGTATATACCTCTCCTAGCCGCTTTGGCTGCAGCACTCCGCTGAGGATGCACAAGTTCTTGGACCATTTGGACACCTTTATCGACAATGGTCATGAAGGGGATACCTTCGACGGGGACAACCACGCCGCCATGTTTTTGGTGCGGGAGAAGAACTTCGAGGGCAAGGCGAGGACGGTGAAGAATGGAGAGATGAGACAGCTTGAGGCATCTTGAGACCCCGTTTTTTCTCGATCTTCAATGATCGTCCCGACAGCTGCAATCCGGGATCTCTTGGGGCCTTCTGAAGCAAGCTCTGAAGCAAGGTAACTCCCCCCAAAACACCGAGAATCTGATGCTTGGGTTTCGGCGAGGAAAAGGATGTTTCCGGCGTTGCCCAGGAACAGTCAAAACTCCTTCAGATCCCTCTCAAATGAAAGGATTACTCACCACCAGCTCTAAATCACAGTGGCCCTCAGTTCTTTCGGAGAGAGGATTTAGAAGAATCACCCAATCTCAATGATGCCCGCTGGCCCTGGCTGCCAGGAGTATGTGCCAGCTTTTGCATGGTTTGAGGTCGAGCTGCCTGGCAGAATGGACTCTCCAAACGGAAACTCACCAGGCCGAAGACGACCGAGAGATAGGCCAAGCAAGTGGAAAAGATAGACCACCACTTGGGAAGACGGAGCCAGGTTCTGGGGGGTCCAAAAGCACGGACGGTGGCGTTCCGCGTTGGTTCTGTTCCGATGAAAGCATGAAGGCATCACTGCGAAAGCCGCAAAAACGGGCTCCACGGGCTCTTCTTTCGGTGTGTGGTGACTCAGTCTGGTGAAACCTACTAGGAGCGATCGGACGCTACGAACGGAGCAAAGGGCATCGCTACTAGGAGCGATTGGACGCTACGAACGGGGCTAACATTCTCTTCTTTTGGCTCTTTGGCTGCCGACCAATGCCACTCAAACAACTCATACGACCAATTTGTTGTTTTTTTATTGCTCTGATGTAGGGGTTTTGGAGCCGAGGTGCTGAGGCCACTTGAGGAAAAGTGATTTCCCTCAATTTCCACCTGTGACAGCTAGCTTGGCCAAAGAAAGCTTTGAATGCCTAAAGGCTTTTGAAGGCCAAGGGGGTCGCTCTGAGGCAGTCGGACATGAATTCGGACCAGGACATCGCCCTCATGGTGAAGTCTGCCACTTCCCAAGCTCAAGCAGTGCCACTGGAGGAGCAGTGTCAGGATTTGGAGAAGATCCATGAGGGGAAACTTCTGCCAGGCTGGAGCGCTGACATGAGAAACTCTCCAGTTGGCAGAAGTGGACCATGGGTCGCTGGAAGTCGATTGATCTAGAATCTCAAGTTGCTGCTACCCCACTAAGATCCATTGAGCCACCTTGAGCCCCCCCCAAAAGACATCAAAAGACTAACAGTGTTTTCAGGATGTCCAAGGTTTTGATGGCCAGGCCCGCGGTGGCCCTGTTTTCCAGCCCTCCAGGTGAGACACTGAAGGCTCGCCCCGGAGCACTGGCGGCCTTGCGCTCGGATCGCCCAGAGGACTGGACCCTGGAGCAGCAGACGAGCTCCGAGGTGTTTGCCCGGGACATGCGCCAAACGGACGAGGACCACGTGGGGCCGTGGCCGCCTTTAGCCCTTTGGGGCGGGTCGGGTTGGGGGGGCATCGCAAAATTCTTGGTCCAGTGCAAAATAGGTGCAAGACCCTTCTCAAAAAGAAGAGAGAGAGAGGAGGGTGCGGGGACACACCAAACAATTGGAGCAGGCATGAGCATCAGAGTCCTTTTCTTGTGCGGAGGAAGAAGAGTGAAGCGTTTTCACCTGGCGGAGCTCATCGCCGAAGCAAGCCAGAAGATCGAAACAGAGCGGGCAGCGGGTGCTGGGTACTGGCCAGGTGAAGTGGTTTAGGGTGAGTCCCGCAGCAAAGTGGGACCAATCATAAGAATGATATCCTTTCCATATCCATTATGATATAGATAAAGTGTCACTTATATCCATTCATGATTCATTTATGATGTTTTAAGAATGCACGGCATAGCATGGCGCTTGACTTGATCGTGAAATGTGTTCCATTTTCAGGATCTCCAACGTTGCTTTGAGCCAACCAATCTGAAGACATCGACAGAGTTTGACAAGTGCTTGGAATGTTTTACTTTACCAAATGGCTTTCGCAATATACGTACCATCATCAAGAGTCACATGGCTCCAATTCCAAGTGATTAGAGCTTAGATAGATGGTCAAAACTTTGAGCCAGGGATCCAGTCACCACTATAGCTGGCAACCAGAGACTGAAACAATGGACCTACAAACTCTGGTTACTGATTAGGTGGTAACGGGAATCCACTGGGGCTATGAATACGAATATGATGATGAATCATGCACATGCCTTTCTAGATATGAATGCAATATCTGAATATACTAAAATATATATATATATATACACGGCATATATACATATCTCCCATGCATGGATGGGGCTTGGCTGGGCGGGCTTCGCCCCGAGCCGCTCGCCAGCGCCGCTTCGAACGATTGCTCGCAGACCACGGCGGAGCACCTGGCGAGCCAGCGCTCGAACGAGGCGGCCGCCGAGGCGAGGGCCGATGGGACACAACGCGTTTTTTAAGTGAACAGGTCGTTTGTTCCTACCAGCGTTCTTGTTCCTAGTAGTAAGGCCAGGAGCCTCGTTCGTAGCATGCCAGAAGCTCCTACTAGCTTCTTGTTCCTAGTAGTTATTTTTTGGGGGGGTGCACTTCTTGCTGCCTGGTTTGTGCCGGGAGTCTATGACTTTTAACATACACTGAATGAAAGGCTGGGAGATCCCTATGTCAATTATGCTGTTCTATGTTATTCTTCGAATGCATTTAATCTACACTCACAAGTTAAGATACTTGTGTTTGGTGGGTGTTACTGTGGGTGATACTGGTGCCAGATGCTTTCACAGCAGTAGCCCCGATGCGGTCGATTGAGTCTATGATTGCTCATCCTTATGTAGGGGTGCTCATCCTTAACCACTCTTGAATTCCCAAAGCCACCCCTTGCCAGTGAGGGTCGAAAGGAGAAAGAATATGCATTGGAGGCTGTGAAGCAAACCATTTGGAGGCCATCATTGCGTGGATGAAACGAACCGGGCTCACGCTTGTCTCTTGAGGCACCACGTGCTTTGTCCATGCTCTCCACAAAATAACCGAACAATTGCTTTGATTGATTGATTGATTGATCTGACGTATGTTGTTTGGCTGCAGGGAGGTCAGGTGCTCAACACTTGAAGCCCTCACAGTCCCAACGTTTTCTCACACTTGAAAGGCATCTCGGAAATGATAGCTGACCAGCGTTTGCCAAGTGCAGGGGATGGTGTTTCAGTTGTTTGCATATTCGACCTTCCTGGGTTGCAGAGCCAAACCCAAGGTATTGTTCTAAGATTCTTACTTCATGTCTAGCAATTGAATAGCAGCAGGCCATGCCAAACCAAGCATATCCAAGCACAGCAGTATCAGAGAATGCCCCCTCCCTCAACATTGCTTCACCACTGAACGAGCAGCCGGAAATTCCCCGCTGCGACGTGGAAGCGCAGACCTCGAGGCTGCTTCTCTTCAGACCTTGCAGTTGCAGGAGGACCATCTGAAGACAAACCTAAGACTATGCTAAGACTATTGTTTAGCTCTTGCGGAGGGAGGAAGCTAAGGAGCCACGGGGGCATCCATTCCAGAAACAGGGAACCAACCAAGGAGATAGAGGGAGTTCCCCAACCCCTTATGCCAGTTGTGGATGTTCGATCCGATTGCTGCCATTGTCCGAAGCCTGTTGCTAATCACAGATGTGGATGACGAAGACCTTTGCTCCAGCAGTTGGAGCATCCTCTCAAAGCCATTCAGAGCCACCCGTGGGAGTGGAAGCCGGTTCGACCGCGACGGATTCTCATGCAAGTCCTCGACCTGTCAAAGGACCTTGATGAGAAGACTGCGACATAGGCCTTGAATTCAAGTCCTTGAGCCTCCTTTTTTCTGTCATCCATCCGGCCGGATAGAACGGCAACCTTCGAACCAACCCAAAATAACCAACCAGTCCACCAGCCCGTCCCCGCTCCACCCGACCCAGTCCAGTCCACCGGTGTTCCAGGAACTGCGGGAGGCGCAAGCGGAGTTGCAGCGGCAGAAGAGTCAGCTGGAGGAAGAGCGTGAAAAGCCGCACAGCTGAGTGAAGCGATCTCTTTCAACAGCGGGACCGCTATCGCTGCATCTCGCTACCTCCGAGATGCACCTTCGAGATCCTCAAAGATCCCTCGGATGCCATCATTGATGTGTCTTCTTTGTTTGAACAACCCTTTGTTTACTGAGGATTTCAGACCTACCACACCAGGTCAGGTGTTCTATCTTAATGGTTATTTGAAGGCCATGGCTTATACAATACCCTTATTTTGTCAGGTCAATCAGGCCAATATGCTTTCAGCTCCTCTGACATTGGAGATTAACTTATGGGCTGGGCTGGGGAACAATAAATTGCGACCTAACTATGACTCCTGACTACCTACACCATGCCGGCTCCTCAGCCTGATGGACTCGATCAGTGCAAGGCACCGCCAGCGCACTTCCATGGGTGGTGTAGTACTGTACGTAGACCATCCAATGCCGCACCAGGTCCACCAACCGGATCAAAAGGCCTCACAAAAGTCGGCCTTGCCCGCCTTGACCAATTTTTCGGCTTTTGGACACCACCGAGGTTGAAGAGGGAACGTGAAGGTCATCAGGACAAACATCATTCGCACCTCCAGGAGTTTTCCCGGAAACAAGCGGAGGTGGACGTCCATGTAATATGACATGTTTATGTGTGTTTCTACATGCATAGATACAAAAAAAACACAAGTAGTTGATGCTGCTGCTGTTATAGACTTATAGGGCAGTTTGAAAGCTTCCACCTAGGTTCTATGATCTTACAGACGATGGACCAATAAGCGCCCTAAAGCACATGCTTGATCTTCAGATGTTTGATTCGTCCACAAGCCAACTTCAATTTGCTCCACCTACGGTAAGATTGGTAGAGTGTCCTCACTTTCTTCCACGTGGTTTGTGCGAGAGTTGCCTTTTTGGAGACGCTTACAGCATTTCCTCCATCATCGAATCTCTATACAACCTACGACTTGGTCGGATGATATTATAATATATTTGTATACATATAGTCGGTAACAAAAATGCTTGTTGTTTGTCAGCGGCGGATGGAAGCTTCAAGTCCCCACGTTGACCCAACTGCATGTACGATTTGAATTCGATGATGAAAGACTCCCAAACCCTAGGGCCCTAGGGATCCAAGTACCTTCTCAGAAGGTGCTTGGACCCTCCAAACCTACATAACAGTGTCTCCAATCACCTAACCTGCGAAGGTACGACTGGATCCCTAGGGAAATGGTGTTTGCCTTCAAGAATTCAGAGTGAGTGGATGTTGCTGAACGTGGTTCTCACCTGAGTTGCGATCCCGGATTTTCATGGATTTTCTCACCGGATCCGAAGGGATCATCTACTGCAATAGCAGTGGTTGGAGATGTGCACCACTTGAACCCGGGGCTGGTTGTTGGATCCGTAGGGATCAAGTCTTTTCAGCTTCCAGTTGGTAACCGCATGATTTCAGAAGACTTCCTGCACCACTTGCAGGTGAGGTTGCGCATTTGAACATGCCCTTGCTGGAGCCAGCTGGCTTACCCGTGGGTTCTGCGCCATCTTCACCGCAAGGAGCTCCACGGGGAATTGCACCGCGAGCGTCAGCACCTCACCACCGCCCACGACGCCTGTCATACCGAGCACCAGCAGCTGCTGAGTAGCTGCCCGGCGAGTGGAAAGGGCACCGGGGCGGACTGGAGCGGAGGAGGAAGACGAAGATGCACCAAGAAGACATTAAGGGGACGAAGAGGGGTCCCAGTTTGGCATGGGGTCGATCGGTGCTGCTTTAGAGGAGATATTTATTGGGTGTTTCAATGGGTTCAAGATGGTTCAAGTGGGTTCTGTTCGAATAGTTTTGGGGGAATCAATCTTTTCGGAGTTTAAAGCCAAGTCCGTCATCAATTATAATATATTGCCCTGTTTCGGAAGACCGGAAAAAAACCCTGTTGTGAGCGATGGATTATGGTACTGAAATACGCCCTGTATGAACGAACACTTTCATTGTGATAGATTATGCTTTATAGCCTCGACACAGAAATTTGACATGCATTGTTTCCACCAGCCCCCCACTCAGGTCCACCCCCTGCTGGTTTCTCTGCCAAGCCGGGAGCTGAGGTGCACGACAGGAGCTGGAAGAGGAGCGAAGGAAGCATGCAGAGAGCAAAGAAGGTGGGAGAGTCACTGAAGATGGGAGGAGGTGGGAGAAGATGGAGTCAATACTTCACAATAATTAGATATCATTAGTGTAATCTTAGTCAAGGCAATATAATGCTGATAATATATAGATTAATAGTAGTTAGTAGTATGAAACTAGCAGCATATATAATACAGTTTGATTTCGATATGATTTGGACCCATTCGTCAGGTTTTCTCCACCTACCCATGAAATCCCAGTGACCCTAGGTGTTTTGGTCAATCAGCTGCATGCTGCCTTTTGAAGCATTTGATCAGCACTGCTCAGATCCCTTGGAAAAAGACATCAACACCTGGTTGTTTTCGCTTCAGACCCGGTCCTTCCGACCGCGACGAGCGGTGGTTGCGCGACGCGTCCCAGGGACCAAGAGCCAACTGTTGCAGCACGTCCGCCACATCGGAAGCCTCGAGGGCAAGGCGGCACCGGTGATCCGCTCATTGCTCATGGTTTTCAGCCAAGTGACATGGCCAGGCCAATGCATAATAGCGGATATAGATGCCGGGAATCAATCATCATGTTGAGACGTGTCTTCGTAAAGTGTGGGGTCTCTAGTCAATTGTTCAGTTGATTGAACATGTGCTGGAGATTAGAGATCCTTGGAGGTTTGTTGAGACAATCATAGAGATTGTATGGATTGATATTGATTGGTTTCACAGGGTTTCACTCGTCCAAGGACGTGTGTTGCGTGTTTTCAGTGTTTGAACCGCGTGGGGTCAACCGGACGGATATCCGAACTCTAGACGGTTGTGTGCAGGGTGCAAGAGGCACTGGGTTTTGGGCGTGACGAGCTTGTCCTGTCGAGCTTGCATTCTTCATCAAGTTTCCAGTGCACCCCCTCATTGAAGAACCTGGTCAGCCTTTTCGACCTTACACTGCCACACACCAATCCTTTGCTATAGAAAACCCTCAAAAAGTGGCCCCACCTGCTTGCCGCCACCACCTCGCCATAGAAATGGAAATAGCCGCGCCGCTGCTGACCGTGGCACTGGTGTCCGGTGAAGAACTGGGCCGCTTTCGCGCATCGAGCGGCGAGGACCTACGGCGCCAACTCTTCGCCGTACCGAGGCGCCTTACTCCGCTGCGACGGGCGGACCCCAGGTCGACGCAATTGGTGTGCAAAGATGGCTTGGTCTCGGAGGGACAGGTCTTCACGGAAGACTCTAGATGTGTGATTCTGTGATTTTTGTTTGATTTGTTATTTCTTACGGTTTCCTTGTGAAGTAAAGTTTAAAAGGATTGCGAAACGGTTTCTCCTTCAATTCAAACAATGACATCTTCACGGAGGACCAAGACATTCAAATTCTTCTAGCCCCGCGGCACTTTGCAGTGTGCGTCCTTCGCTCTTGGCGGCATCCTCGAGCAACGCCCCTGGTTATGGATACAGCACAAGGCTTGGTAACTGACGCAAAGGGGAACTTGTTGGAATTGGACTACGTTTTTGATGAAGCTGCAGATTCTGAGATGATCTTTGCCGAGTTTTGGGAAGACATGCTCTTGCAAAGCTTGCAAGGTCGGCGAAGCTTGCTTTTGGGTTATGGTCCCGCAGGTTCTGGAAAGATGCATAGTATGTTTGGTGAAGATGGCCTTGTGCTGAAGACTCACAAATATCTCCAGGCAAATGTCACAACGAACTCCGTGGCAGTGGAGTTCATGGAAATTATCACCGAGCGGGCCTATGATTTGCTAGCTGAAGAGACCAGCTTGGAACAGAATCATCGTGTGCGATATGGCAAAGACCAAGTGACTGTGGAGGGCATCCAACCCCGGAGTATGGATGTGGCAACTGCACTGCGAACAGGCCTAGCCTCCCGGAATGGGAGCCGAGGGCCTCCTTTTGCACATTCCAGCACCAAGACATCACTGGTGCCCCGGGTTTGCAGATGTTTGCAGGACATGGTAGGTTTTAGTAATGAGTTTCAAAGGTTTATTCTATGATGCTTTAAGAGATTCATGTGTTCATATTGAATTGGACTCTGTTGGTTTCGGTTTCGCATCCACTGGTTCTTGACGCCAAGGTGTTTAACATCCATTTGTCCTTGGAGCATCTGGAGGAACCCTCACTGATTCAGTTCGTGCGGCTGCCGGCCTCAAACTTTCCACGTGCTACACACGCTACCCATCACCGCCCTGACCCCGCAGTGATCTTTGAATTGAAGCCCTTGAATGCTGTGACTCAAGTTCTGCAGTGCCTAATTCCTGGACGAACGCGTGGATTTGTTCCCTACCGGGAATCGGCAGTGACCATGCTCATGTCCAATGTCCTTCGCTCTGCTTCACCGCAGCTGGTGATTTTGGGCACTTGCACAGGTGCGGAAGAGGACACCTGGACCACCTTGCGATTTCTCAAGCGTATGCGAAGCTGCCTCTCGCAAAAGGACGCGGTGGACACCGAGACGGCGCGCGAAGCACCAAGGAATGAGTCGGAACCATCCAGAGACCTATAGCCGCCTCGCAAAAAGGAGCCCTGACGCTGCGGGTCTTCAACAATCTCGGAAAGCTGGTTCCGACCAGTGCTGGTCTCGTGTTGGTTTCGGAAAGCTGGTCCGGCAGGCCGTTCTTCTCAACCTTGCCCACGGGGTCCACGCTGTGTTTGATTACTTGGTCATTTGAGCATGGGCTGCCGAGGGGAGGTGAATGCCTTGTTGCATGGTGTTTACACATGGGGAGGGTGAAAATTGCAAGATCAATATCAACATCTATGCAAACCACGTTGTTCGGTGTTCATGACGCACTTAGGAGCTGGGGCCGGCCTCGCAAGATGTGGCTCGCACGTGTCATTGTCGGAGGATAAGACCATGAAATCCCAAGAACCAAGCATACCAGGGCGTGACGAACCGTGACAGACCGTGATTGGTCTATTTTGTCCCTTTAAAAATGAGGTCATTGTCGGACTCCAGCGTGACAACCCGTGACGAATTTGAATTTGGGATCGTTGGTTTTGTGGTTTTGTGGTTTTTGGGTTCTGGTATGATCTCGTTTTTTGAGGTCGGACCTCACAGGGTGAGGTCCGAGAGCCCCAGAAGACACAACCCCAAATGTTAGCATATAGAGCTAACTTTCGATCCTCAGGGTGTATAACTGCTGCATCTGTGCCCGGTGGGGGTTGCAACCACTTCCAAAAGGAACACCATCAATCCTCTACAGTCTTTGTGTCTTCCACGTTCCACGGGGAATTCATTAGCACACATCCAAAAGTTCAAGCTTGCATTCACCCGAGTCCTTGGAACGGCCCCGTGGCAAGCCCGCCGAGTTCCCGAACTTCTTCTCGTGCCGCAGCAGCTCTTCCCGCGCGCCAGGTGACGGGGCTGAGCACCGAGGCCAATTTCTTAAAGGGTCGGATCTCTGAACTTCAGGCCGTCGGCGAGGAACGAAGAGACGGACGCGACGTGACCGGTGGGTGGGTGGTTGGTCCGTGCTGCGACTGAGTCGGTGAGTGTCTTTTTGTGGTTCGGTGGTGTTGGGGTGCGAGAAGCTGAAGTGGACGCGAAGAACTCAGAGACATGAGGTGGCTGAGGTGGCTGAGTGACACGAGGCAGGCCAGGGGACACGACATGGCTCGGTGGATGAGACCGGGTGAGTTGATTTTAGTTAAATAACCACGGACAGGGACACCCTGAATTCACATGAGACAAGGGTGGTCACCAACCAATGACAGGGTGCTTCAGCATGTGAATGCCCGACCTTCCTACGCATCAGCATCCTGAAAGAAGACATGTGCATGCAATTTGCTCGAAGTCCCAAATCCACATCAGCTGCAGCTTCAAAAGTGACCCATCAGGGTTTGCTGTCTAATCTTTCTAGTAACCTAGGAGCTACTAGATGGAGGCCATCGCTACCAACAAGCAAGCTTAACTTTCAGAGGGCGACGACGTCACCGGCAGGGCATCCTCAAAGAGTCGGAAACGCATATGGTCAAGCAGGGCCAGGTGCGGCGCGGAATGGGTGTTGAAAGGCATGGCATGTCCTGAAAATGGCATGACAGGGCACAGATGGTCTCGGCATGACCAGGACTTGTATTTGCATCTGAAGATTTGCCACTTGGGGCGCACTATATATAGTGACTCTCTACTCTATACTAATTAAGTATGGTCAGGCTTTTCGGTTCATGGGGTCAATACGTATCCCTACTTCTAACCAGTTGCCTCATGATACCTCATGTTGCCACAAACAAGATGTGATGGAAACTATTCGTAACTACCCCCCTCCAAAAAAGAACCGCTCACCAAGCCATTCTCTTGATCCGCCCGGATCCGCCTGACGTGACACCTGACACGCAGGTCATAGCCTCTCTGAAGAAGGAGCTGGAAAAGGCGATTTTGAGCGACAAAGAAGCAGCAAAGAGCTCCATGTTTGATCATGTTTGGATGATTAATTCATTGATGAACATGGTGATCGTTTTCCTCTATGAAATGGGCTTTGGATAGACGTCCAACCTAACATTCACGGGGCGTGATGGTGTGTTCATTGATGCGCTCACACACATTGATGCATACGCACACATGTGGGCCATGAACCGTCATGCAACCTGCCAACTTCGGCCAACCTCCATGCATAATCCAACCGTGGATACAGTATGTGGATTGACGTGTCCTGGTGTTATACAATTACCTGGTTTCATCGGATGGATCGTTCTGAGGTCTACCCACGGGTATACTAACTCTTCAATTCAAGGGAATGTTCCATGAAAATGAGGGATTGATGGGGTGCGGTACTTTGTTGAGTCACCATTGTCAGATGGGATTGTTGAGCAGCCATTCCCAAGAGTTTTTCCGGGAGCAGCCATTCACTGGGCATTCGCCGTGAGCTGTGAAGCTGGGACGTTCCAATTCTTTATCTCAGATCCTTTTGAGGAACACGTCCAGTTGATGAACGTTCCTGCCTCAAACCTGAACGTACGAGAGTCTTCCGGACGATGAGCAAATTGTCCGCGCAAATGCGATGGTAGTTGCAAATGCAATCAGCTGCATATTCGATTTCTTGGTTGAGGAACTACTGTAACATGAGTCGATCCACCAAAGGAGTGTGGCAAAAGTCAAGAGTGTTTCAACGAGTCACAGAGCTATTTTCTGGCTTCCGAGTCCAATCTTGTCAATGCTTGTGGCCCATCCTCGGTTTGGCTTCGCTCTGGCCTTGCATAGCGCCGGCGCCGGCCATCGACCGACCGTTTTGGGCTTCGGCTTAGCCGGACAGGCCAAGGGAGAGACTGGTCGAACAAGATCTGAAGGAGAAGAAAGGCGGCCAGTTGTTGGGTGTGGCGCGGCAATGCGAGGCAGAGGATTGGATATTTTGTGGGATAAACACAGCTTAGGGAAGGGTTGACTGGGACTCACACACCCCACCATGCACCCAAAGAGTGGTCCTTGTCCCGATCCGGATCCACAGGCTCGCTACAGCCATGGTTCATGTGGTTTGGAACACAATGGCATCTCCCTCCTCCTCCCCCTCGTTTTTGCAAAAGGTGCATTCCAATTCAACCGGAACAAACAAGAGGAGCTTTGCATAGCTTTGTGCTGCGCCCGGAATCGGGACACAGACTTGCCAGCAACGCCAAGATGTTTTGTTGGATGTCCTAAACTTTCGACCCTGCTGACCAGGAGGTTTTGCCATATGTTTTCTCCATCTTTCTCCACTGGGTTGGTGTGTTGCTCAGTAAACGTGAAGGATCAGCGGTGATAACATCATGCAGGGAGCATGCAGAGTTCGTTTGAACATTTGGGTGTGCAGGTGTGCAGCACGCACGGCGGAAAAACCTTCCAGAGCTCAAGAGCCAGTGTTATATAGTCAATGCACCTCAAACTTTGAAGAGGCATAGCATATCATTGCATGGCATCGTAGCCATAGCTTATACTGTAACAGATGCTTATAGTATTATAGTATGTTGTAGTATGTTGTAGTCGTACAATTATATACGGAAATCAAGCAGCATTAACCAGCACCGAGGGTAATTTATCTATATCTTCCTGTACACATGCCAACTATTTTCAAGTCGGCCTTTTGAGGGCTTCCACGTTGGCGACACCCTGCCGGGAGTCGGCTCATTCGCGCATGTTTTGGCTATGGGTATGTTTCAAGTTGGTTTGTGCTGCTGCCACCTGCGCTACAGACGATTTCGACTGCTTGTCAAGGTGCCCTGGCAACATCGCAGGGACAAGGCATTCCTTGTAATACTTAGAGTGCCTTTCCCATTTGGTGATGCTCCATCTAGAGAGTATCTTTTGGTGGAGGTTCTGTCAGGTAGCAACGCATGGGAGTATGCAGCAACTTTGCAGGTGTATTTCGGCCAGCCTGTAGGTTTAGGCATCCGATGCTTCAAAATTCGGATATATCCAGCCCGATGAATCCGCTAAGGCAGATTGAATCTGATCATTTGGCACCCTGCAGCCGACCTTTGCGCGTGGCTTTGGTCGGGGCTGGCGCCTTTGCTCGAAAGGCGGAACCGGGAGGGCCAACGGGCCTCCCTGGAGAGGAATGGGCTTCGCCATGAACAAATGGCAAGCATCAATGACTTGGGTGTTCTAAGATCCAAGCCATTTGAAGGCCGGAGGGGAATCCGGGAACTGAATTTGAATTTGAGTGGCTGGTGAATTGCATCCAGGACACTTTCTTTTTTGCTCAAAGGTGAGGTGATATTATTCCCACACCAAGATCCCGCCAGGCTCATCTGCCTTCCTTGCGCGAGCACGCGGACTGCTTCGAGGTGGTTGCTCTGTGGAGCCGCACCCGCGCGTCCGCCGAAGCGGCGGCGGATGCAGTGGGTCTGGCGATTCTTTGGGGCGAGGAGGGGGCGGATGGGAAGATGGATGCAGGATTTAGGAGGGTAATACGAGCTTGCGTCAGGGCAGGTGTCCTAAACCTGGAACCTTGCAAGGGTGTAAGGAGCACAAGGTCCCTTCTTGTCTTCATTCTTGCAGATGCCTCTCAGGTTTATCGTTCTTTGTAAGGAGGTTTGTTTTGGGAGAATGCTAGTCTGAGCCTCTCGTAGTGGCGTTTCAGGTGTTCCTCAGGGCTCATTGCAGGGGTGCTGTTGGTGTTGCCACTTCGAGCGGCTCACCATACTTGACCAGGACGGTTGGGCAGACTTACTTTCTGGCAGATTGACGCTTGGCCTTTCAGTTGCCCATGCTCACTTGGACCAACGGAATTGGAAGATATCCTGACCCAATGAGGGATTCGATTGAGAGGCACCTTTTTCAATCAAAGGGATATATAAGCAAACCGACAAATTTATTGGAATACTAAATATGTAAGAGGCCGCCTTGTGCCTATAGCGAAGTTAAGAAATCCTTGGCAACCGATAGGGGACGACCCAGCACCGATACCCCTATACCTACCAAGATTGTTTTTGTTGTTATTGGTTTTCTCGATGGCTGTGAATAGGAATCCAAGGTGCTTTTCAATATGAGTTGTTCTGAACCTTAGTGGGATATGTTGCAAGAGCTACCACGCCATCGTCAAGTGAGTTCGCCGATGAGGTTTCATTAATGAACAACAGTTGGGTGGTTACGCTGTGGAATGAGGGAGCTCTCACAGACAGCTCAACCGATACTGACCGATACCATTATATAATTATAGAAGATTCTGCAAACATGTACAAATCACCAGATGCAGACATCCAAGAGGAAATTAACAAGAATATTAGCAGACTACAACTGAGGAGACTGAGGAGTAAACACAAGCAACAACTTTTGGCCAAGAAAAACAAAGCATTGTGAAAGCAGGTCACGGTCAGAGCACCAGCTCAGAATCCAGCTCCTCGAGTTCAATGTCACGCAACACCAAGTCAAAAAAGGAGATGCTACTCTGCTGTTTGCTTCTACAAGCCTTTCACAAGGTACTCGCAGCTTCAAGCCCCGAACTGGAAACACAACCGCGCAGCAATCAAAACGCAACATGGCAAGCCCGGCAAGCCCTTCACAACCGATGCTTCACCAATGACACCCTCATGACGTCACATTTCAAACGCCTAATTCTTCACAACCGATAGGGGACGACCCACTTTGGCATATGGCATATTGCATGAATAAACAATTTGGTCCGCACCTCATATGACTCCAAACAGCATACTAACTTGCAGCAGATATGATATGATGCTTCTTGTGTAATACAATTGCTATTTTTGCTTTTGGGCGGTTCTATTTCAGCCGTTCGTTGGGTTTGTCACTGATCCTACACATGTTGCACCATGTTCACGCACCGCCAGGTCCGACCATCGGGTGGGCCCCGGTCCGACCAGGTCCGTGGAGTTGTTGGATGTGGTGCTCCCCATCCAAGACCAGGCGCGTTTCGTGCGCCAGGCTTTGGACGCCAACCTGGCAGTGGTGTGGCTGGGCCGGGTGTGGCTGTTGCGCGGTGGGATGCGGGTGAAAACCAGACGCTGGCGTTTGATGAGATGAGTCGGTGTGCTTTATCCAGGAGTTGTGCCAGTTCAGTTCTTATTGATCCTGGTGCGCATTTGGGGACAGGGCCTTGGTTCTTGGGGGTTGCCTATGTCCAAATTTATGTAGATCAGTGATCAGTGTGTATATAGGTTTCGGGTCGGGTGCTCAAGCTTGACAAGTGACGCTTCTCTCATTCACTGGATTTCTACCCAGGTCGGAGAAGCCCATTGCGCGGAACACCTCAGAGGCGCAGGAACTGCTGCGTTCAGCGCCTTCGCGCGGGTGGTGGGTAGCGGAGAATTGGAGGCGCCCCGGCGGTTGGGAGGGGGTTGAGGTGTTGTGCGCAACGTTGGAAAACCTCGTGGAATCAATTTGCCGGCCCAAGAGAGCAACAAACGGGATTGGGTCATTAAATGAGGTTGCGCTACCAAATATGGGATACACATTTGTATAGAGCATTATAGACTAAATTACAGAGCTATGAAAGAGCTGCACTATTGGATCAGCAGTTATACTGATTGGATTGCCTGCTTGGGATGCACCTCCAAACACGATCCAGGCCCTGAAGAAAAAATAGTTGTTTTCACAGCATTTTGTGGTAGCCACATAATTGGATGATGCCATTCAATTTCATTCAATACACGGACCTTCTATCAGGGCCCTGGTTTGGTTTGGATTTAATGGTCTGCCGCCACCTGTTGCTTCAGTCGCCGCTGTGACACAGCAGGTTCGAGCCAGCCTTCCTTTTAGCACGGGCGGCGCTGCCCGCGCTGGGTGAGGTCTTGTCCTTCTCGGCCAACGCGCAGAGTCTCATGCCAGAAGATGCCGCCTGACAGCACTGGCCGCGGTAAGCTGAGTGTTGCTTTTGCACGTGTGAGCGTGTCTCTCGGTGGACATTCAACGTGGGGTTGGAAGCAACATGAATCAACATATAGAACGATATATATTTACTATATATTTAATATATTACCCATACAGAAGAAACACACACACATATATATATATACATATAAATACATTTATAGAGAGAGAGAGATGTGTTTGCATTACTTGAGTTGACCCAGCCTTTGAGTCGTTTCATATTTTAAATAACTCCCCTCAGTTTGGGCTGAATGTCGGAAACCGTGGTCCAATTATTGGCAATCTTAGGGGCTTTGGGTTGAAACTACAATGTTTGGGAAGATGGCTGTGCCCCACAGGTCACGGAGTTGCAACCACAGCAATGCAATGCAAGCTAGTCACACTATCATTGGGATTCATTGTTTTTTTTGCCCTTTGCCTTGTAGAAGGTAAAGTGACTTATAGTGAACATGGGCGAGGATGTTGGGGTAAATGGGTTTGTCTAGAAGAGAGAACTAGATTAACTAAATACCCTGCTGTAGAATACATATATATATATATATAGATGTTTGAATCCATGATCAGAAATGCCATCAAACCCACTAATTTCAATACGACACTCACAGGAAGTAGTTAGACCCTATTTGACCCATATTTCACTTTGGTTTGCCAACGCCTAACGACTGATGCTCGTGTTGCGCAGGTGCCCCTCATGCGCCCGGATGGCTGGCGCATGGCCGCTGATGGACACGAGAAATCAACGGATGGTGGGATGGCTGGGACGTTGAAGTTCCATGTATTTGGGCTGTACTGTTTCCCCTACGAATTGGATTATAATATAAGTAGATGTTTTTTGTGGGGGGATCCTATTGCGGGATGTGCCTCGGAGGTTCAGCTTCAGGTGTTGGTGGGGCTTTCAAAGGGGTACAAAAACCTTTAGCGGACATGCTGGGACATTGAGGCGTGTTGACTGTTGACAGTTTGTCCGCGGATCGCTGGCTATGCAACTGTGCAGGGAGTCTCAAAATCCCCGGCTGTGTGAATCCCATTCAAGCAGGAGAAAACGGTGAAGGCGCAATGTCTTAGCACCATCAACATGTACATACCTTTACATACTGCTCTCCGTACAGGCAATTGCACCACATCCCTCTAATGTTCTTGTCACACATGAAGCACCAATTTCGTAGAAGATCTGTATAACTTGATGTTTGGCCTAGGAAACTGGATCGTGGACGTGGGAGTTCACTTTGTTGCTGCCTTGCGCTTGGTCCTCGGCGAGGTGGAGCTGGTCCATGTGGTGCGGCAAAGTGCCGTAGACTTGCAGAAATCCATGGAGGGAGGCGGCCCCCCAATGGTATGTCAATACACATGACCATCAGTGTTCGTCAGTGGATTCAACGTGACCTGTTTGCTGGTTTTAAGGTTTTTGGCTGCTTTGTGTTTAGCAGCCCTGTGCTTGGGCAACTAAGAACCCGCAGCCAGACCCAAGAAGGATCAACAACGGATGTCGAGAAGGGTTTTATTTAGCTTTTGGGGTTCAAGAAAGATCGATTTAGACCAATTTAGCTCAATCTTGAAATACATCCTAAACACTCCATGGCACTGGAATATCGGAATATCCTAGAAATAGAAACCATTTGAGCCCTTTTGATAGGACTGGACTATATGTTGGGCGGTTGGTGATCCAAACTCGAGATCACTCGGGTTCGATCGATGATGTATGTCAACAATTGACCCCTGAAGCAGCCTCTCCAGGTCTTCGTCCCGAGCTTCAGCCCTTCGACACCTTTGCCGCCACCCTCCGCGCGCAAACTGCGCCGTTCGCGCTGGGCGTGTGGCTGTTCTCGCTGAGCGTGCCGAAAGCGACGCCGCGCAGCTGGGTTCAGAGGAGGGTCCGAAGGTCAAGTGGCCAAGGCCGGGGGGGGGTTGGTTGCAAGCTGGGCCTACCCAAAAATGGCATCATGCCTTGGCGGGTTGGGATTGGTTCACAGCAGAGGACGTGCTTTTGAAAGTCTCGGATTGACCTCATGAGAGGTTCCAGTTTTTGTATGGTTGAAGGTTGATGTAACCCCAGGCCACCCTCCAGCCGATGACTGTAGTGATGTACACAGTACACAGATCAAAAGGAAGATTATATAATATTGTATAGATCATGAAGCTTAGAATGAGGGACATTCATCCAGGGTGCAGGAAAGAGAGAACAATATGGAGCTAGACTAGGTGTGTCATGTGACCCTTGGAGAACCTTCTGTGGCCGTCATCTTAGCCGTCATGGACTGCACGAGTTGCACGCCCGAGCAACTCAGGAACCATCTCCGGCCTTTCTGACCTAGACTTGCAGAGCCTAATCTGACAGACTTGGGCCTACGACTTTCGGGCACCCAGGGATGGAGGATCAGGCGACCAATGATAGGCTGAGAATTTTCAGCTGCCACCAGGTGTTTGAAGCACTGGAACGTCTCTTGGTTGGCCTTGACCAAGAAAGCCCATCGTCCTCCTCGATTGGCGGAAACAAGATGATTGGCACAGCAACACATCCTGATACAACCAAAACCAAAAGCAGAGCCTGAAAACAAGCCCAAAACAATAGTCATAAATAGATGTTTGCAGACGTTGTTAACCATGTGACCCCTCAGGCGTGTGCTCAGGCGCCTTGTCAAGCAGCGGGAATCACATGCCAACCCGGTGAAACCGATTCTCAGCACCCGTGTCCGGCCTGTGCCCCGCTCAGACAACGTGCCACATGCCTGAGGATTTCTGGCCGCAACGGTACCTTGGTGGTTTCCCGTGGAGCCGTAGAACTCCGGGACACTGACGGCCGCACGCGCGCGGCCTCGCGCGGCTTCCAGGGCCCCAGCGTCGCGTACGCGCTGCGGGCGGCGGCGCGCGGTGGCAGCTTTGGAGCGCTTGCAGCGGCGGTGGCACCACTGGAGGCTTGGAAGGACCTGGAACTGGTCGAGGCCGTTTTGCAGCAGGACGTGGGCGAAGACATTCGTGTGACTTGTGCGTATTGATGGACTTTTGAGCTGACGTGATTCCTTTCAAGGGAGTGGAGATGAGTTATTATTACAGTATACAGATGTATACAGTAAAGTAGGTTTTGGTGTGCAGTGTGCATCAAAGTTTTGGGTGTGAGGACCTTGCAAAAGACAGACTAGTGGAACTTTGAGTTCGAGCACTTTGCGATCTCCCCTGGCTGCAGCCATTGACGCGGATTTGCCGTGGCTTCCCGTAAATCAACCAGCGTTTGGCAGCTTTTGGCAATGCACTTACCTGGCCAACTCGAAACCGGCAAGCATGGGGATTCTCTCGCACCGTGGGCGTTGGCACCAGATGGAACTGCTAATGCGGAGAGTCCAGGACCGGGTTCAGGACGCATGTGACGCCGCATGTGGTCGGAGAAAATGGTGAGTAGACGCCGTGGGTTGTGTTGATGCCAGTGCATTTGCCATCAGGATGCAAAAGACATGAGGGGCATTCTGAGGTGAATGAGGCTCTCCAGAGCAACGTTACAATGTTTAATGAGGAGGCAGTTCCAAGATGATACAACATAAAGTGACTTTTGGGGGCAGCATTCCGTTGCTGTTCACTCCTTTTCCAAGGCCAAGCGGTAGTCATGTCCGGTAGAAGAAAGAATGATTTGCCACCAACTAGCCTTTGCCACATCGTACGCCGAGGATCACATTTACTCCACAAGCCTTATAGTTGAATAATTTTTCTATGTTTTTCTATTAATGTTAGAAAATACATTTGTTTTATATGTAATCATTAGATTAGTCCTATCCATTTCAATCCACGATTGGCTCACTCATGGTGGGAGGCTCTACCAGATGCGTCGCGAAGGGACCCGCAGATTGCAAGAGCGTTGGGGATGCCCAGCAGTGGTGGTGCTGGTGCTGGTGCTGGTGCTGGTGCTGGTGCTGCTGCTGCTGCTGCTGGTGGTGGTGGTGGTGGTGGTGGTGGTGGTGGTGGGTGGTGGTGCGTTTGGTGCGTTTGGTGCCTTTGGTGCGTCTCGGCTGGTTGGACCAAAACGGTGGACCTGGGGGACCAACCACAACCCACTGGTTGGTGAGGACTACCATGGACTACCAAGGGGGCCATGCAACCCGGGGTCCATGTGAGTCGACCCAGCTCTCCACGTTTCGTTCGGATTTAGGGCGACAGCTATATAGCTGCAGGCCCCAATTCTGAGAGAAGCACGTGGTGTTGGGAGCCTGCAACTCTTTGGAAGATGCAGTTCACGTCATGATCATTTGTTACTTCAATAGTTCTAGTCGGCCATATATGGGGGTATAGTTTGGACATAGGGACCGTAGTTACCCATTGCGTTTTGCCAGGACGGTTGTTGCAAGGATGATTTGCCCTATTTTTTAATTACTTCATAGTGCTAGCAGCCTTCTCAGGCCAGGCCTTTGCAGCCAGCCGCTTTTGCATCAAGTGAGAGTCAGTCATCCTGAGTCATCGCAGATGTTGCATCCGCCGCATCGCATTTGCCCACAGGTTGTTGATGGATGTTGATGGTTGTTGTGAATGATAGAACACGTACTGACTCAGAATACAGTTGCAGATCAATTGTTAGGCTCGATATGACCACCATTTGGACTCGCCTCCAGTTTTTGAGGCTTCAAGTCTTCAACAACTAGAATCCGACATGATCTAAACGCTCAGCTCAAGCAACCACAAGCAACCTATGGAGATCTAGCTTGAGTCGTTTCAACATGTTTGGACTTGGTGGATCCCAGTGACCATTCTCCGATTTCCTCCTTTTCACTCATCAGTCGTCGTTCGGTGTGTAGCTCTTTGTACGGCCGGACCTGCGCGACACGATGCGACGGCGATGCCGGACCCTCGCTGGATCTTGCTGTGGTGGAACTGCAGATGGGTCGCGCTCGGGGAGGACCGCTATCTTTATTGTCACAGCCGCCGGCGGTTTCTTATTTTTCTTTGGGTTTAGCAGATTTATTGGCAGTGACAATTCTATGAATTCCAGGTGACGGGAGTGTGGTGTTGTTTGTTTTGCTTGGTTTGCTTGATTGCGTGTTCTTTGTTTTTGTGTTTGTTTGTGTGGTGTTGTGTTGTGTTTTTGTTGCAAGCCGAGCGACGTCTAACGCCCACATATAAGGGGTCCTTGGCCTTCAATGAGTGCTGCATGTCGATGCCTATTTGCGCATTGACTGGTTCGACCCGATCCATTTGCCTTTCCATATGTAGAATGTAAATAGCTTGGATGTGGATGAGATGTGCTAAGTGAGGATGAAATTGATTAAGATTCAAGAAATGTCCCGTTGACATCACGGTCATTCCCCGATCCTTGGATCCGATGACTGCGACGGAGAATCCAGGAGACCAGCTCTTGCGAGCTGAGGAGCTGCCTCCCAGCAGATACCACACAGGACCCACCGATTTGCTACAAGAGACTCGGGCTGGGCTGCGGCATCCTACCTCAGAAAGATTTTAAGCACAGAAATCCTCTATGACTATTATGACTATATAAGTTAATAAGGTTGCGATTATTGAAGAGATTTATTTGCAAATTGCTGCATCAAATCAGAAGTCAGACTTGGCAAAGTAAAGGAGCTACCAGTGTTTATAGTCACCGGTGACGCTGAGGAAGACGGTGACACCTGAGATGCGGATCGCTCAATCCTTCAGCCTTTGCCCTGAACATGCGGCCTTTTGCTCGTTTCTGGGCCATGGGGCCGGCGGGGTCGAGCTCAATTGATCCGAACATAGTCATACTACGAGGCGGCCCCAGTGCTAGGATGGCTGTTGAGCCACACCCGCACAAACACTCCTCCGGGAGGGCCATTTAAAATAGTTTTCTTTTTGTTAAAGGAGTTTAACAGTTTATTGTTTTTCGTTGCTTCTAACTTCTGTTGGCTTTTGGCTTTCGTGACTTCTGGCTTCTGTGGCTTTTGGCTTTCAAGGTCCACAAAGTACTGCGCCTGTTACAAAATTTGCACTTCAAGGCCCATAAAGTACTGCACCTACCACAAAACTTGCACTTCAAGGCCCACAAATTACTGCGCACCTGCCACAAAATTTGCACTTCAAGGTCAACAAAGTACTGCGCCTGCCACGAAATCTGCACTTCAAGGTCAACAAAGTACTGCGCACGTACCACGAAATCTACACTTCAAGGTCCACAAAGTATTGCGCACCTGCCACACAATTTGCACTTCAAGGCCCACAACGTACTGCACCTGCCACGAAAAACGAAGAACATTAAAAAAGCAAAACAAAAATATGCTAGAATAATTTGAGCCCCATAAAAACACAACAAGCCTAAACAAATTTTAACCTTATCCATTATCACCGAACAGAGTGATTTTTAGATATGTTTAGCACCAATTTGTTTCCCAGAACCACCTTGCACATAACGACAAAGGCTCAACAAACAATGTTTAGTCAGCAAAATGTTCAACGATGTGGTTGATGAACACATAGTCCCCACAACCATCCTTTTACAATGTTTTTGGGGGACGGTGGCGTGGGCAATGGAAGGTGCTGGCTGTTCAGAAAAACTCAATGCATGCACCATGTGAAAGCCTTCTCAGCCCCTGGCCAACGATTGGGTTTGAGGCCCATTTTTTCCAGCTCAGCTGGTGCAGCATTCCTGGTACATTTTGGGCATTGAATTGCTTTACAAGGGGGTAACCCAACCTGGCGTGTGGCTTTCGTAGCTTTCATGGCTATTATGAAGATAATATATTGATATGATATACTGTTTGCTACTAGTCCATCTTCGGAGGAATGTGAAGTCCGAGGCAGAGGGTATTGTTTTTATCCAGACGATTGCAACTCACAGACGGGCCATGAGATATTATCTTATTGGAATCCTTTCCGTCTTTTGTTTTCATTGCGGGGGAGGCGCTGCGTCCCAAGGTACCCCGAAATCTGCACTTCAAGGTCCACAAAGTACTGCGCTTGCCACGAAAAAACCCAAAAACACCTATATAATATATATATATATATCTATAAATTAAATCCGAACCCTTTTTTCAGGGTAGGGCAGCCAACACACCTCAAACTGATCCAAACTCCTAGCCAGCACACCTCAAGAAGATGCCATAAAGATCTTCACGTAATACTTTCGGTGTGATGGATCTTCCAACCACTCCTCCTGGATCAACATGGAACCTGGACCTGCAATGTATTTTTTTAAAGCCATATGGACCATATGGATTACACATCCTTTTGACAAACTAACCGCCTGGGCTCTTCAAGACTGCATTTTACTGTACTTGGGCGATGTGAAGCCCAAGTTCATGTACTTTCCCATTTTTCCCAAGATTTCATACCCATTGGTCATTCCCGAGCTGCTTGCTGTGCATTTTCCCATTTCCTGCAATTGCCAGACTTGTGAGGTCATGTGAGGTCCTGAATTTCTGACCCCGAGACTTTTCAGACGGCCAGTCAGACTCTTGACTCAAGGCTTTGCCAGGCAGAACCACCATGCCAGAGACCCAGCGGAGTGCTGTGTTGAACCGCGAACGTGAAATCGGCGAGGGCGATCACCAACGAGCAGCCACAATCGCCCAATGTTTGGGAGGATGGAGCAAACCTTGGAAGTCATGGCCAGTCACACTGTTCAAGGAACCTGGCTCCTGCACTGAAAAAATCGATGGTTTTCTACATGATTCAACACATTTTTGATATCATGAGATGTCAACAATGCTCCTGCAGATTAACGTGGACCCTGAAGACCGTAGGTGGTAGATGAGAATAGCCTTGCAGGGGGGTCCATTTTCACGCTCCATAGCAATTTGAAGGGGGATAGTTCCGTCAAATCACTCTCCGCACCGCTGATGTTTCTTCAAGATGTTTTCCCAGGCGAAAGCCGATGCGAGACACTTGCTGCAGCAAAGCGACCACCAGGAGAGGGACGTTTGAACTTGAATGCTTTGGCTGTCAGGAGGGCTTCTTGCCAGCCCCCAAAAGGCATCAATCATAAGTGAAAAACCCTTCCAGGGCTCACGTGCTTAGACTAGAGATGTCACTTAGGCTTTGAACATGTCATGTTGAGCCAGTTCCCTTAACCTTAGCTTCCGACCCGGTTTTTGCCGCTTGGACGAGGCAAATGTTTAAATTAATTCTGAAAGACGTAATACTATGTAATACTGATACTGACCGATCTGACTGGGATGCACGCCCTTGCAGGGTGCCTGCCTTCATCGATTGAGTCAGATATGTGATATGTGGACTGCAAATTGATTTCACCCAGACTCTGTACAGGAGCTGAATGTTACTATGATCAAGACTGCGATGGTCCCTTCAGCAGGAGCTGGGCAGGGGGGGTCGGAAGACACCCTTGGTGAGAAGAGCTCCGATGCCAGCCGTGTGTCGATGGAGTTTTCTAGCTGTTCCTACTGTGAAGGATGTGTGTAGTATATAGATGCATAATATTCGGCTCCATCCATTTGTAGGCACCCCCATTCCCCATAATTATATTGACTTGGTGCGCTTGGTACTGGTAGAAATTCACCTGGCCTGAGTGGAAATCTGACGGCCCAACAATTCCGGTAGATCTCCTGGTTTTGCGCTTGGCTGATGGGGTACTTGTATTTATATAGGTCAAGGAACCTTGATGGATTTCGATTGTTTGATGATTTTCATTGGCTCAGCCTACTCCATCCTGCTCTCCAGGTGCCTCCAGCGCGTGTGCCGACGAGCCCTGCTGACTCATCAAAGTTGCAGCGTGAGCGATGAGAATGACCTATGTGCTGCTTGGTGAAAAGGATTTTCGAGTGATTGACAGAAGTAGGGAACTAGAACAATGATTACATGATAAACATTGATAACCACATATGATTAATCAGATTTAATCCGTGTTTCTTGTGAAAATCCATTGAGTCAATGAGTCCACATATGGAATCCATGAGCTTTTTGTGGACCCCTGTGATCAATGAAGATCAATGAAAATCGAAGTATGAACCTTTTCCTCCGCGACCCCTTGGAAACCGCCCTCCCAGCTTTGGACAACTGCACTGAACACGTGCACATCCACGTGAAGCAACCGAATACAGTGGTTTTAGAGGTTCAATGGCACAGACCCCAAGATGTCCTGAAAAGATGGGGATCCATCATATAAACCACCAAACTTGGGGGACCTTGTGCCATACTCTGAGGTTATAATCAAATCAGAGGCTTTGAGCTGCTTCAACCCAGGTCACTGGCCAGCGACTCTGCTTCCGTGGCCACTGCGCCGGTCTCGAGTCGGGCGCGCCGTGCAGCGCTTCTGGGCGGCACGGCCCACCTAGCCTGATGGGCAGATTTGGGTGAAAGAAGAGGATTGATGGAGCACGAGACCCAAATCCCTTTACGACCTGGAAGGTTGAAATGAAACTTGAAAACCATTGAAAACCCACTTGTTTGTGAAAGAAGCTGGTCTTGTGAAAAGGTCCAAGTTCAGGTTCCATCTTCGGGTGTTAACTTTATTACCGTACGCGTAGAACTAATTCCATGTGGCCATGTGTTTTGGATGGATGAAGATGTTTGTTGACCATATTCCCACAACTGCATGGACCTTTCAGTGATAGCGTGCGTGGAAGTTCCAAAAGAGATCGAGAGTTGGTAGAGAGTTTCCAAGATGGCTTGATCTGCTTATGGACCTCTAAGCAAGTGGAAGATAGAACATGATAGAACGTCAGAGTGGCAGGGTCATGGTCACTTGGGAGTCGTGCCACCCAAAGAAACATCAGAAAGCCATCACTTAGCAGGAGTAGGTATAGTGGTTGGGAATCAGCTGGATGCTGAAAACACCTTCGTGGAAGTATAAACTTACTAATCTTAGCAGTTTTCAACGTGCCCCGCCGTCGCGCGTGAGCACATCACCAAGGCGCAAGTGGAAGGGGCTGACATTGACTGCAACCTGGGTTGGTATTGAATCTCGGATCAAAAACATTGCGCCTGGGACACAGTGTGTGAGCTTGGCTGATTAGCTGTTTAAGGTCTTACTTTCTTCACCGTGCAGACGAGCTCGAGCCGATTTCGTCGTACGCCCTATCGTTTTTGTTTGGGGGCTTGAAACGATTCATGGCCAAGGCACTTGAATGTTGTTGGCCTTGGCCAGGAAAAACTGCCACCGGGCGTTGCGTCGAGGGTGAATTATGTGGTGATTCATCACGTTTCAGGCCAAACATGTTGTTCCTGTGGAGTTCTGGAGCGGTTTGCAGTGGTCTAGTCCCTTCCCCCCGATGTCAAAAAGAGAAGAACATCACAGATGCATTTTAGTGGTCTACTTGTGAATGTGCTGCGGAACTGATGGTACATGATGTCAATGAATGCGCTGTTTTATTTTTTCTAAGTGCTAGCCTGTGCCAGCCTGTTGAAAGTTTGGTAGTTTTGAGGTTCAGGGAGTGTTGAAGGAACCCCTGTGCTCCATAGACCCTTTTCATGCCTGTCATCCCTCGACTGGCGCAATGATCGCCAGCAACTCTCCCTCGTTCGGTCCGTGGTTTTCAGAGCCTCTGAGGCTTCCTGGGAGTTTGCACGCCACAGCTGCCAGTCGGCGGCGCGGCAAATGATTTGGGTCCAGTTTGGGCTGTGGCAGGGTGAGTCTCAATATGTATATCATTGTACATTACATATATATATATAGAAAGTAATATGTCAATTTCACTCCCAAGTCAGATCTTCCTTGCAGCCGTTGCTGAAGATGCACTTCCTTCCGCTCAGGCCACACCTGCACCGGTCTTCATAGCAACGAGTGCTTGGGTGGCTACCGGTGCAATCTGGCCTTAGACATCCCTCGATGTTTGCGGGACCGGGCGACCGGGCGTCGCGGCGCGTCGCGAGCAAACTTGCCGAGCAACATACGCAGGCTCAAGTAGATGAGGACTGCAACCTAAATCTAAAACCATCTCAAACCGCATAGTTGAGTGTGAAAAAAACAGGAATGTGGACAATTGTTCCCAACGCGCGATTTCCCTGAACATGGGCTCTCTGATTTTTGTCTCGGAATGGCAGACTTCCTGGAAAAACCGGTAGGAGCGCTCCCACTGAGTTCTTTTCACAGGTCTTTGTGGGAGCGCAAGCTTTCGGCCGATGTAGGCAAGAGGGGAGGTTTTGAACCTGAGACCCAAAGGATGAAGGAGGAGTGTGCCAGGTGTTGTCAGACCGGCACATGGTGTGCCCGGGCGGGAGGTTGTGTGCCTGGATGCCCGGGAAATGCTGTTTGGATTTGGATGCATTTGCGTGGAAGTTTGGGCATCAAGGTTTCCAACCAGAAGCAATCATGAATCATCATGATAAAGCCCGGGCATGTGTGAAGACGATCACCCTCAGCACCTCGCATCATGTCACATCATTTCACCATCATGATTACCATCCTCATCCTCGTCATCTACCATTGTCATGCTGATCATCATCACTGTTATCGCCAAAACATCATCACCCTTGGAGGCTTTCTCACATCGCCATGCACCCGAATCATCGACATGTCACCGTAGCGAAGCGTAACGTGCAGCTTCCTCAAGCGTAGAAGAGTGACATGTCCGTTGTGCAGATGCGTTGTGTGGAAGTTTGGACATGTCCTTTTTCATGCGTTGGCAGCAAGCATGATGGGGGTGATGACTATAGTGAGGAAATCTTGGATATGATGGTGATGATGTTGCTGTTGATAGCGGTGATGAGGGTGATGACGACCAGAACGAGGATAGTGATGATGATGGTGATATTAATGTGATTATCGTCGTCATCATCATCGTAATCATCATCATCATCACCATCACCATCACCATCACTATCATCATGATAATCATCATGATAATCATCATCATCATCATCATCATCATCATCATCATCATCATCATCA